AGCACTTTGTCTTTTCCTCTCTGTGTATAACATGCTTGTACACAGCAGTGATTTCCAACTTGTCTGTCTGCAGAGTCCGTTAAGTTGTATTGATTGGTTGATTAAATGTACATCCTAGTATGTTTTCCTTTTTTTTTCCTCAAACAATATGACATTTTCTAAAACCACCTAAAAGCTTGTCAGATTTTCTTGAGTGTATAGATGTTACCTTTTGTCTCTTGTGAAAGAGTTAGCATTGCAATGAATTGCATATTTCAAAATCCTACTGGGTAATAAATGACATTAAGTAAGTGAGAAGCTGCCTGTGAAATAATGTAATTAACACTGCTGAAGCTCTATCCAGAGAAAATGATCTTAACTGTTGCTCAAGTGTTGATGATTGAAATTCAAGTGGTTAAAATCAGTTTTACAAGTTCAGACATTTATATTTCAGTGCTATAACAATGAATTATGTTTGCAACCAGTTGGATAATTTCAGCAGAGAATTTTTTAAGTAAGTGTCTTGTAAAAGCTGAATGATCAATTCCTTTCCTTTTGATGGCAGCAGTTCTTTCTTTCCAGAATACAATATTCTGGATACACTTTCCACAATACTTGTTAAAGTGAAATTGTCAATGTGAAATTCCTAATAATAGTATTAGGGTCAAAGCTTGGTAGCACCTTTTGATTAAGAAAATGTCACCTATATGCAAGCTTTGATCACTCGTTTGGTTAGAAAATTATGAATAAATCTAGCACATTTTCTTAAAACATTGAAGCTGATGTAAATATTTGCTAATTTCCAAAAGATATTGGAAATGAAAATGTGTTTTGTCTTCCATTGAAATATGAAAAATTTACTGTTAATGGCTCCAGTTTTAAGTTAATTCTTGGTTATTTGCCATCACATGGCATTGTCGAAACCGCTCTGCCATTGATTGAAGAAAGTATTGCCAAATAAACCCACTTTATAGGGTGTATTTAGTGTTGGTGTAGTCTCATGTTGAGTAATGTGTGTGGTTCTGGGTCCTACTGCTTGAATGTGTCCACAGGATAAGGCTGGAAGGCTGCGGAGTGGCTGAGTAGACTGGGTTTTTCTAGTTTGGAGAGAAAGAGACTGAGGGGTGACACCATCTCCCCCTGTCATTCAAACAGTTTGAATGAGTTTATTTATAGGGATTTTAAAATTCTCTGTAATATATTACTTTGTTTAAAAAGCAGAAAAAAAAACTCCACTCCTCGATCAAGAAAAACAACACAGCCCTATAGAAGGACAGTTGGATGGCCTCCAGTAGTACTCAGATTACTAAAACTGTACCTCTGCGTGCACCAAGTCATGTGATTTAGAGCCCTTTATAGAGTAGCGAACAACAAGATGCTGAAATTTTAATATTTCTGTTGAACTTTATTTTGTAATTATCTATTGTAATGGGTTACCAGTTTGACTATAATTTGCACAGCTGGCTGTGATACAAACTAGGTAGAAGTTAAGGGAAAAGTCTTCAATGGACAATGCTTAGCTTTGAAAAGACTGATAGTTCTGTTTTACAAATAAGGACTTCCATGATAGGTAGAAGGGCTATCAACCCAGTTCCTTTTTCTACCTCCACAAGAAAAGTTCTTCACTAAGTTCTACAATCTATGCTGTGCTTGAACCACTCTCAAGTAAAGCTGGTTTTGAGGCCAGCCCGTAAGTCCTGTGAATTGAGTGGAAACATGTGAGTATCATCTTGCTAGTTGCTGTAGTAACTGAAAGTAAATGTGRACTTTTTTTATGGTGTGTCTCATGCACTCAGTAAATACAAGGGTGTCTAATACATGAAGTGTCAACATAATTTGATTTGAAGTTTAGCTGGGGCAACTGATAATTTACGAGATACAGCACTGTTATTGACAAGCCACTGTAGACCAGATTTTAAGCTTACTTTTCYTGTTTTCTTAGTTTTTCTTTGTTTTCATTCTAATAGTTATAAATCCCTCTCAATAGTAGTTGAGCAAAGTTAAGCAGTTAACAAAAYCAAAAATGATTAACCTTTAACCACTGGTCATACTTCTGGTAGATGTAGCTTTTGCAGGGTGATAACCATGTGACAATGTAAGTGCCTGATGTTGTTCTGATGCCAATCTATTGGAATGTTATTATTTGTTCATCAGGGAAAACAAAATTACTTTGTAGTGAAAAATTACTTTTCATATGAGAAAATAAAGAAATGAGAATATACAAAATGCTTTCAAAGAAACAAGTATGTGCTCTGGGATATTTATGAAACTCTGCCAAAATTTAAAGCTAAATTACAAGAACAAAAAGAATTTTGTAACTTCTAGGAAGTCTTGGCAACTGACACATTACACTGTAAAAGGTACCTTTTAAATTAATAAGTCTAAAACATCTCTTACATTAAATGAGGCAGCTTTGAAGAAGTACACTTTTAAAACTAATGAACCAAGCAGAAGTTATTTTTTGCTCACTCCTTCACTTAATTTTAATCTGTTAGATTTATTTGCTTTAAGCTTTATTGAAATATATCAGCTCAGCTTTGTCCTCTATTTGTCCCTCTATTGTCCAGCATCTGCTGGTAATTTGGTATGTAGGGCACTTCCAGTCTTTTTAAGGAAAATGTCCATATTTCCTGAGAGACCTGTTTGTAGCTTTCTGAGGACGACATTCACTTTGTAGAAATGACAAGCTTTGTGAGTGCATCAATATTATTGATGAAGTCCTCTCATTAGTGTGACAAGCAAAACTTGCATTAAATTTTAAAGGTCTGTTTTGACCCATCCAAAAGGTAGATTTCCCTATCATAAAGTAGTCTACCAGACCATGTTAACTAAGAGGCATAATCTGAAATAAATTGTCTCCCCCTTGGTAGACAAAGACTTAGTTATAAATGGAGTGAAACTCTTATGTGCTGTTCCTCGCTCCCACAGCCTCCTGGGGAGAAATGGTGTGACTGGGAGTGTCTAGTCTCAGACAGTCTGAGCTTCTGCAGTGATTCACACTCATTTTCCTTTACAGAAACTACAAATAAAAAAAAAAGAAAGACAATGCAAAAAGTTGGTAAATGGTGGAATTTATGTGTGAACTGAGTCTGTATTTATGTATCAGCTGAGTATGAACTTAGTCTGCATTCCTAAGTGTCTCCCATTTCAGTAGAATTCATCATGACTTTTTTAGCCTCCTGTAAGAGGTTTGGAAGATATTTGTGATTTCATGTTCTTTTCTGGCTTCAGATATCTTGAGTGATGCATCTAGTTTGCTCAGTGTCTTCCAGGGATGCTCTTTCCATAAATGAGAGACCACACATAAAGATTCAAGGGAAAAAGAGTTAAATATGGATGCTTAAAAAGTATTTTAGTTTTCAAAGTTGCACCATAAAAATAGAATCTCAGTTGTGTCTTTTTCCAAAATATGCTAGGTTTATAAATATTTACTTGATAAAATAAATAACTGCCCGTATTTGGACTCTGAAATTTAACCCTATTGGTTACTAACAGAGTTTTATTTATTTATTTATTTGCTTTAATAGTAGTTACTATCACACTGGCTTTGATACTAGCAGGGATGGATTTTTTGGAAGTGTCTAATTCTGCAGTTAACAAGAAATTTAATATTTTTAGGACAAGCCACTACTTGTCAGCAAGTTATGCAGGTTGATACATATATAGGTCAATGCAGAATCACTTAAATACTATAGATTTTAATCTAAAATCCCTGTCTGTGTTTCAAACTTGAATAAAAGCTGTTCTTCTGTACAGAAATACAAATGTATTTGTGTCTTGATGCTCTGTAATTGTGCAGTGTAATCAAGGTGAAATGTCTATAACAGACTCATGCTGCATGCCACATTTTACACCTTAGCTTCTATCAGCTACTTCAGATTAGGAAATCGATATGTGTGTAAGGAAATCAATATATTTCTCTACCAAAGTTGCTCATTCAGCCCTCCTGCTGATTTAGGTAAAGGGCACACTTTGGACTTCTAGTGTTACATCTCCACGATCAGGGTGTGATCATGTGCTTCATCAACACAAACTTACATTTGGAAATTATTGTAAAGGTTTAAATGATACCAAGCAATTAAAGTAAGTTCTTGTGGAAATACTCAGCTCTTTTGAGAGAAACAGCTAATTCTCAAAGATCTTATTGTGTATGTAGACCACAGAAGCCCTCAGAGGAGTATTKGAAAACTTGTTATGCATTTGGTTGTTTTTGTGACTACTCTGTAAATCCTATGGATCCTTATTGTTGACTTAAGGGTAGAAAAAGCAATTGCTGCAAGAGTAATCTGGCAGTGCCTGCTATTTGGAGTGGATGACAGTGTATAAAATCYTGCTAATCATAAAGCTATGTCTAGTCACATGCTCTTAATTATATCTTTGGAAACAAATATTGCTTTATATACTTGAATATCCTGGATGATTCTGCTGGTTTAGTTTACTCTTCTGTGCTGTTGTTCCTCAGAAGGATTACAGCTCCTGTGTGTAGCAAATACCTAATATTTAGTGATTGTGATTGCTACGTGTGTCACAAAAGGTGTACAGTGAACTGAGTTTATAAGGACCAGGGTCTGTTTTAGCTAAAAATAAACTGATTTTTTTTTGAAGGAGGGGTGGAGGGTGGGGGAGGGGGAAGGGGAAGGGGGAGGGGGGAAATGCAGTCCGGGATAGCAGCAATGGTTTTTCTGCCGAGAACTTCGTGTCAGGAATGGCGAGAGAGGCTTCCCATTGGAGTGCCCSTAGCGGCCCCTACTGGCTTGCTCTTCCAATGGCACTGGGGGTGATTGCTTCAAAAATGAGCTTGAGAGGAAACTTGCCGCTTGACTGACTCCKCTAGAACAAAGGGGACTGCAAATATGTTCCAGCTGGCATCAGCAAAGCTAAGTACAACTGATATATTTTCCCCGTCTATGTGGTTTTATAAAACAGTTACAATAGTGTAATAGTCACAATAGTGAAGTTTGTTTTAACAGCTCTAACTGAAAAAACATAGTTTATTAATCAGCTTGCCTGTTTGTTTTCAGCAACAGGTATGGAAGATAATGATGCAACAGGGAAAAGGCTCAGAAAGTTAAGTGTTGGGCAGTATGACAACGATGTTCCTCGGCAGCTATCATACAACAGGTGTGGATGCGTGAAGTCCCCTGCTACTCACCAGGCTGTAATTCCAGGACCGCCAGTTGCTATAGGGAAAACCAAGGAGGTAAACAATCAAAAATTTTTCACTAAATACTTCCTGAAGTGAGTGGCCAGTAGGAAGTCTAACATTTTGTGTCCAGAATTCTTGTGAAGCAATTGGGCAGTTGCATCATGGCAATAAAAACAAGTAACTGCAGTTACCTCAGAAATTCAATTCAATGTTTAAGGATACTCTTGTCTGTTCTGTGTTTGCGATTGCATTGTGTCTGATTATGGAAACCTGTAGTTTGATGAAGAATGCCTCACTGTGTCATAGGGTTAAGAGAGAATTATCACAGCATAATTTTGCGCTTTTTGTGCCTTTTTTTAGATGGTTGCTGTGCATTACCAAGATGAAATAGATAGAGACRTCTTCTCCACAATAAAAAATGGAAATGAGGCTGTCACATTTGCATCAGCTTTTCCCCTGTCACCGGAGAAGACATTTTGTAAGAAAATGTCTCTGTTTCTATTTATTTATATTGATAACACTCTTGACRTTTTAGCTGTTACTGAAGAAGAATTGCCCTTTTCCTTCTCTCTTAGTGACAGCACCTGCACTATGCCATCAGCAGATTCCCTTCAGCCAAAAGGTCAGCAGCCCAACTGCGCTGTACAGAACCATTCCTGGTAAGGTAGCCCTATTTCCTAAATAATGTGAAAATGGACTGTGTATGAAGGCAACTAACACAACAGTGGTTTATAAAATARGACATATAAATGGTGAATTCAGATGTGTAAGTCAGAGAAACTGATTTTAGCAGTCCTGTTTTAATCATACCAAAAAGAAGTGAATAACAAAAAATTATCCAAGAAATATTTAATGTTATCCAGATTTTAATTGCTAGGAGGGAGTCCCATGTTCACATTGTCCCAATTCAGTGTGGAGCAATTAGGCAGCTGTGTCACAGAAATAAGAGGAAATGCAGCTCAGTGTTTGAGGCTATCCTGCTCTTGTTCTCTACATATATTTGCATGGTTTCAATGTTCCACAATCTCTCTGCTGATATTTGATGCTAGTCAAAATAGTACTGAAAGGAGACTTGAATTCTATATGATTTTAAGCAGGTTTTGTCTTCATCTGAGGAAGGAGGGTGATATCCATATTGTCATCTTTCTAGGCAAGTGAAGCTGACAGTAGAGCTTTACAGTAGTTATACTCAGGTCAAGGAGATCCTTAACCAGAGGAATGGATGTTCTGGAGAGTTTTTTTGCCCTGATATAGTTTATAAATGTGCAAGCATGGAAAAGTAGTTGGTAGTAGATGATTATATATTAAAGATTTAATAAGATCTAGCTATGAATTTTTTTAAATAAAGGATTATTTTTTGAGTCCTTAGCTCTTTGCTACTAAAAATAGTAGCTAAGCTACTGTTACCTGTCACCTTTTTTGTGCAAAATTATTTGAAAACACTAAGATTTAAACGAAAAAAGTATTTCCAGAGACTCTATCAGAAAGTGCTGGACCTAGCAGGAAGCCAGCTAATGTATTTAAAACCTTAATAAAAATCACAGGAATTCTTTTTATGCATTACATGATGTTCAAATGAAAATTTATGTATATTATGTRTAGTTTTACTGCTTAGGCTATGACTGTCTTTTCCAGGAGGATCTTGATAGAGTTTTCAATAAATTTGATGATGGATTTGGAAGCAGTAATAGTTAGTGMTGTGGTTTTAGCTTAAAAAAACCCTCTTTGTTTAATTTGCCTCACCTAATACGCGTCAAAAGCAAATAACATCAACACAGAAYAAAATTACCTTTAGCTATAGAAAAGTCTTGTACCCAGTTCAAGACATCTCTTTATGGYTCTCCCTATTTCTAGACAATTAGTGGCAGATATCCTCCTGAGGACAGCTTCAACAAATCAATTATAGGTTGATCTACTGACTACTTTGACGTTAAATGGTTTCCAATAATGTTGCTAAGAGTTAGGACTTGCCCTGGAATAATATTTGGCTTTCAGTGTATTCCCCTATTTTGATTCTCCTGCTTAATTCTAAAAGCTGTCATCTCTCAAATGCTGGTTTTAGATACTCAGTTAATGGAACACTGAAAATAATTATTCTTATTATTAGAAAAGGAAGCAATTCTTCCTTTGAGTGCCTGTTTAAAAATGAGGCTCAAGGTGTACTGAATGCTGCAGGTTAAGTGTTCATCTCCATGCAGCTTTGCTTTTAGCTGTAAACATAATGTACTTTAACATTAAAGGTGTTAGTTGTTAGATAGTTCAAGGTTAAAGATGTATGAGGATGGTCATCTGGAAACGTGTTAGCAAGCATCTCTCAGAAATGCTAATTGGATGACTTTCCCATCAGAGCACAGAAACTTCTACTGTCAGAGGCAAGTTAGAATTTTACTTTAAATTGTTAAAAATTTTCTCTCCTCCTTTCACTTCTACTATGGTTAATGTCTGTATCAACTGTATCTACTTGCTTCTGTATCTTCTGATTTCTTTGGCAAGAAGTGCTTTTTATTTCTGCTACTAATCCCTAATCCCTCTTGCCCAGAGCAAGAGCATTGTGTYTGGTGTGTTGAAGAGCGTTGTGTTTTGTGTGTTCAGATTTCCAAGGATCTGAAGGGAACAGAAGCAGTTCCTGTGGCTGAGATTTTTAAACGCACATGCAACAAAAGTGATTCTAACAATGTGCACTGTGCAAGAGTCCTTAACAGCTTCAATTTTTAGYACTTTCCATTGCAGCCTAGCTCTTCTTTTAAATGCTTATGTGGCCTTTATTTGGTAAAAGTCAGAAAACATACTGACTTCTTCAGAAATTTTCAACAAATTGAGGCCTTTTGAGTCATGTACTCTGAAGTCTTAACTTCTGCCATTAAKATGTTGCCACTATTGTCTCAATTCAGATCACCCTTGAGGCCAAAATTGCTTTTGTTCTGCATCTCAGCTTTGCTATTTATGTGCTCTCTAAGTTACCAATGAGGATGCTGTAAGCTGGTTACTAATTATCTAGATATATTACTCTTTTATTTCTTCCCCATTTCCTTGTGGACAATAGCATTCAGTGTAATTAGCACCTACCATATCAAGGGATTGTTATGCTTTTAGAAAAGTACAAAAGTATACATTTTAAAAGAAAAATACGTGGGTTTGTGTATCTTATAGTCAATAACTGCAATGGCACCCAGTCCTATAAAAATTATGAAATTATCTCTTCTTTAAGTTATTCTTACAAATTGTGTATCTAGTATCTTGAACACATCTGATTTTTAACCCATTTACTRAGTGAAACTTTCTTTAACAAAGCCTTATAAAATGGAGCTCTGTTATCCCTAGAAATCTTAATTTTCTTTYCAGGTAAAACTACTTTAATAGGGAAAGTCAGTCCAATAGTGTTATGTATCTGTCTCCTTTACATTAGCTATCCCCTACTCTTCTTTCTCCCTGTACATTTATTGGAGATGTCCTGCCTGCAGGATTTCTTTTCAGAGCCTTGTTCTTTATCAAACAGGTGTTAAGTTTAACCTCCTTCAGTCTGTGTGCATGCAGTCAATTTTGTGTTAGCGCTGCTGCTCCAGTGATCGCTTGCTGGCATAGTTTCATTGCCCCTTTCTTCACTTTTTTATAGCTCGAAAGTAATACCTCACCCACAGAGTTAATTCTGAATTATCTTTGAAAGACACCTTGGTTCTTGAGATGAACCTAAGTGGTCTATAAATTGGCTAGTTTTATAAATACCCCTCAAAAAATATGGTTGCTCCAGATGGAACAGATACAGCTCTCTTGAATATCACAATAGCTGTTGTATATCCCATAGGAGGGAGAGTCCTACACATCAGTGAAGGAACTGAAGCACTGTTTGTAGGCCATTTTGAWACTTACAAAGGCTCTTTTGTCTCAGACAGCATATAGCTAATTGAAGTCTCTTTGTCTATAGGAGTAACAAATAAAAGCCAGGCTCTTTGCCAGGGGACTGAATGCTGGCTAGCTGCCCTGGCACTCTACCCCTCAGGCTAGCTGTGAAGAGCTGCCCCTTCTTCAGCTTTGGTCAAAGTATAGACAGAACTTTGCAAGAAGGTCTGCATTCACAATCAGGCACTGCCTTGCAACAGAAGGCAGGCATCTGTGGAACAAGGGACGATTGTCTATAATCCTTTATCAATGTACTGACATAGAGAAGACATGATGTCTTGTTTTTTCATCTTTTCCGAACAGCCTAACTAGACTTGTGTAGTTCAAGCAGTGCAAACGATAGAATGAAAGCAYTGCTGCCAGTATAAGCAATCTCTGAGCCTTCAAGCATATATAAGGCCTTGCCTTTTCTTCTCTTCCATGGAATTTAGCCTAGGTACTGTACTCAAAGCTTGTGTGTGAGTTGTATCTATTCTAAAAATTTTTAAAAGGGCAGCTTTCCTCCTCATGCCATCATGGAACTCTTCAAGACCACACACTGGAATATTTCCATAATTTTTCTTACACAGACTCCGTTTTTAGCTGACAGAGACATTGTAGCCCTAAATTCCCCCCTTGACTAACATAGATTTATACCTTTCTCTCCTCCTGTTTATGTAAGATATGCATATCCAAAGCAAGTTATAGGTACAGAACTTTTCCAGACATCAGTGTTCATTTGCTTAAAACATTAATGAATCCATATACACAACTGGTTATCATAAGCTCTGTCCTCCTGGAAACACGGATGCATTTTGGTTTTTGCTTTTGCAATTTCGTGTTTAGCGTTTTTTTGGATGTTTGGATTATTTTTGTGGGTTTTCATTTGTTTGCTTGTTGAGGCTATCAATGAGAAATAAAAAATACGAGTAAAGAAAGGAAATTTATGATGTTTAATGCAAAGCAGATATACCAGATTTCTGTCCTATTTTTCATCGTCCTGCAGTTGTTCTTGATATGTCTTATATCAGGGCTGAATACAGTGCTCATCAACACAATATTTTTATAATTAAACATTACATTACATAATGTAATGCTTCTTAATTATTATAAAATATACCATTTACTAGCCTCCATAGGCTTCAGGAGCAAGCAGGAAAGAACTTGGATCTCCTGTTGGAATTCTACCAGCATGAACTTAATGAGGGCTTCCACAAAGAGCATGTAAAGCATAACCACAAATGTTCAGAGACCACTTCTCGGCTGTTGTAAGCACTGAAGTCAATATGATGTATTGTGATCTATAACACTTTTTCATCTCTGGATTAGTTTCATTGGGACATTCAGCTCAGTAAAACTAAACTTTATACAAAGTTTTTGTTGCATGAAGGTTGGAGATGACTTGATGTATTTTCAAATCTTCATTGTCACAGATCTCCTCCCCTTTGTGCCACTGTTCTTACAGTTCTTAACATCTGGAAAACACAGTAATGGAAATGTTGTATTTATTTGGCCTGCAGAGAAATAAGCAATGCTTAGTATTAGTGATTTCACTCTGGTAGGTAATAGTATTCCGTGTCAGGTGCTGAAAACTGTGACTGTTTAATTTAGGTTATATCGATCTGAATGGTGGGAAATATCTTGTAATAGTAGAATGAAATTGAAACTGAAAATAACTGAAAATATTTGTGGTCTATGCCTGCCTCTACTGAGTGGTATTAACTGAAATACTTACAGTATAAGTGTCTACAACTGAGCTCTTGGTAATCAGCTTTAATTGAGC